CGGTAGACAGCCCGAGTAGGGGGTACGTCACTTACTGTCATGTGAAAAGATTTTCACATAGTAATTTTTCGTTCATCCAGTAATTTAATAATGGAGTTTTAAAAATCGTTTTCAGTAAAATCTACAATTCAACTCTTAAACTTGCACTAATTGTGAGTTTGCATATCAGATGCTCCGTTACGCTACACTATATTTCTTATCCGAATTCTGTCATTTCAAAACAGTTCTATTGTACGGATCCAAAAAGTGAAGAACTACCACAGTCATAAAAAATGTACAGGTATTTATAACTAATTGTCTGCACAAGATACTCCAGGTCCCTTGGCTGGATACTATTAGTAACAACTTACTGTTCTAGCGGACAAACCAGCTCATAGACGAAAAGTAGGTTAGGAAAAGACGTTGGAGGTGGATAGGACATACGATTCGCGAATAATCAAACTCTATCACGAGGAAAGCCCCAAATTAACATCCCGAAGGAAAACAGAAAAGAGGAAGATCAAGGAACACATTGGGCAGGGAATCGGAAGCGGACATCAAAAGAATGAACAACAAGTGGAAACAACTGGAAGGAAGGGCCCAGGATACAGTTGGTTGGAGAATCCTGACAGGCGACTGATGGTGCCAGGAAGAGTAAGTAACATTATATTAAATACCGATGTGTCTGTCTTAACTTTCTTCCGCAACGTTATGTTTTATAACTCATCGCTTTTTATTGCTTGCATATGATACATGAAGGTGGATACTGCATCTCTCTACGTCATGTTCCCTATTGCATCTTTCTGAGATTTTCTCATGAGCTCGAGTGATTCCAAGTCAATGCAACGTATCCCATTTTAGTGGGATCACTTGTTTAGCTTACCGAGTATAACATTCGTGGAAGCCTAGACGTTCCGTTAAACTAAGAACATTAAAACTCTTCACTCTATGCTTAACAATCTTATCTAAGCTTTTTGATGCACCCAGGGATAATAGAACGAATGATTATCAAAACACCTTAAGTGTGTGCTACACGAACACCCGTAGTCTTAGAAATAAAACGTCCGAGCTAAGTCTGATGGTGGATGAATTAAGTCCCGATATAATTGTTGCTAGAGAAACTTGGTTCACCACAGATAGAAGATGTTCTTCCATCACTGCAGGCTATATCTGTATAAGCAGTGGTAGAGTTTTAAGTCGCAAGGGGGGAGGTGTAATGTTATACGTTAGGGATCACTTTCGTATACAACCAACAATATCGGAGGCTCATATCAGTGGCACATGTGAGGTTGCATGTTGTAAGATTACATCTAGAAATGGGTTAGTGACTATAGGGGGAATATACCGTAGTCCGTGTTGTCTTGCTGACGACTTTATCCTAAGACACATCTGTTCTTGGAGTATGGCAGAATGTTGTCTCATCATTGGGGACTTCAACGTACCGCATATCAACTGGATAGAGCTTACAGCTCCAGGTAGTGGTTTCGATAGTGACCTTTTATCCACCCTTATTCAGTGTTCACTTGTACAATGTATCACAAAACCGACACATATTGATTTGCACCATGTTCCGTCACTGCTGGACCTCGCCCTCACCCACCACTCTGAGGATGTCTTTGATATCCAGCACCTTCCTCCACTAGTGAACAGTGATCACGTTGTAATTCACTTTTAGTTTAGGACACATGGTATACAATTCGTATCTGCTCCACCCCGTCCCAATATCTGGCGAGCTAATATTCCGGAAATCAGAAACTGTGCTATCTCGACTGATTGGTCGGTCGACGCGGATGGATTGATCGAAGATGAATGGAATAAGTTTAAGGCTACTGACTGACTGACTGACTGAGACTGAAGCCCACACTCGAGTCCGTAACATCACCGTTTATCCCATGGTCAATACGTAAGCTATCACATTGCCCTCCATGGATTAATAAGGAAACCCGGAAGCTGTTAAAGCGTAGGAAACACTTCTGGGACTTATTCTTGTTGACATGTCATGTATCATTTAAGCGTGAGTACCGAAAATTCCAGGATACTTGTAAGAAAACCATAGCTGAATGCCGTACTACTTACGAACGACAGTTTTTATATGATAGCCGTACTTGTCCGAAACGATTGTTTTCGTATGTTAAACGGCGAATGAAACGTAGTGATGGTATTCCCTCCGTTACTGTTACACGAAAATTCAGAATTACTAGCTGAATCAGATCGGGCAAAAGCTGAGACTTTTTCAAACTATTTTAGCGAAGTGTACTCTACGTTTATTGTAACAAATACCTTGTCCCACTCACACTGAGATACCAACCATTGAATCTGTACGGGTGACTGAGGAAACTGTCCTTCCGTTGATAACTAACCTCAAACGTGGTAAGATACCGGGCCCTGACGGGTTACATCCACGGGTGCTGTCATCTCTTGCGGACATTATTTCAAAACCGCTCGCGACACTCTTCAACATGTCCCTTTCACTTGCTCAACTCCCTAGAGATTGAAAGGACGCTATAGTCACTCCTATATTTAAGGATGGTTAGAGACAGATAGTATCTAACTACCGGCCTGTCAGTCTAACTAGCATTGTCGTTACGTTACTTGAAAAGATAATTCAGGTTAGGTTGCTAAGCCACATAGATTCACACAGTCTGTTAGCTCCTGAGCAACGTGGATTTCATAACAGGCGTTCATGCTTGACTAACTTACTTATTGCGAGAGAGGATTAAACAGCAGCCTTAGGTAAAGGTCTGTCTGTCGATGTGATATTCATGGATTTTGGCAAAGCATTTGGCAAGGTTTCACACTTGGGACTTATGTAGAAGCTCACGAGCTTTGGAATAATAGGTACTGTACAGGAGTGGATAGGCATTTTCTTATGTGACCGCAGACAGAGAGTGAGGGTCAATAGAATGCTATCCGATTGGAATCCGGTCTAAAATGTTGTACCCCAAGGCACCATCTGAGGCCCTCTGCTCTTCCTTCTCCACGTTAATGTTACCGCTGTTGCATAGATCATCGACAGTATTGTTTGCGGATGGCGTAAAAATCTGGAGATCAATAAAAAGTGAGGCTGATCAGCTGGATCTTCAAGCTGACTTAGACGATTTAGTTAGATGGGCTCGAGAGTAGGGCTTAGAAATCAATGCTAGGAAGAGTGTGCTAATGCACATTGGTCACGGTAATAGTTGCCATTATACTATTGATGGTAAACCTCTTCCATGCGTTCAAGAGCATAAGGACTTAGGAGTAATATTAAGTCATGACTTAAAAACAACTACGCATAGCAGCGCAGCCGCTGTCGAAGGTTTTCGTGTGTTATGGTCACGTCGCAGAGCGTTCAAATCTTTTGACGAGGAAATGTTTCGAATTTTATATCCGATATATGTTAGACCACATTTAGAGTACTGTATCCAAGCAGCTAGCCCACGTCTGGTAAAGAATAATAATTCCCTTGAGCGTGTCCAGCGTGTGGGAACGAAATTAGTGAAGAGTCTTTCTAGACTCCCTTACGATGAGCGTTTAAAACACCCTAATCTTTTCCCCTTGTCGTATCGTAGGACACGAGGTGACCTTATACTGGCATTTCGTATCTTTAATTATGATTCGAGTGTTAATATGTCTTATCTTTTTGCTTACCCCAGCACTAATAATCTCCGCGGTCATAGCAAGAAGGTTCATAAACCGCGATCTAATTAACTTAAAATGGGGTTCCGTTTTTCTCATCGAGTAGTCAATGATTGGAACGCCTTACCCGAACAAGTGATATCGGCCCCGTCAGTGAATATTTTCAAAAAGAAACTGGACCTTCACTGAAAGGCAATCTGTCAGGATTAACACAGGTTCACCAACCTACTATCCTCATTACTGAAGACTGACCACTTGAATTTCTATGCTCCTGACCTAAAAAGAGGTTAGTTTAAAAAAATTTGCTGTAACAGGGTTAAAACCATGTATGTTATTGTTAATAGATTCTGTTTTTCTTTCTATTGCAGGGCAACCAAGAATAAATGCTTTGGTAGAAGAACAGCAAGCTCTGCATGCACTGAACCTACAGGATGACTGATAAGACCGATTTGTAGACTAGCTCTCCCTACTGTACATAACGTTCGCGTGTACCCGCGAATTTTCACTCCGTGTCCTCTCTCTGTGGTGTGAACTGCTTAGTTAACATTGTTTGTGTTGTGGTTTTGGGTCTTCCTGCCTTTCAGTGACTGCTGATTACACGTGTTACACTACCTGGCATTTTCTGTGTTGAAGTATGGTGGTGATTATACATTTGTGCCTAGTGCATTTGTAATTAACGTGAAACCAAATTATAGATGGAAGAATTTCTAGAGTTCCTATTTGGTTCTCGTCTTCCCAAGTCACAACTTGAAAGTCACAGCTATATAGCTATGGCGGAAACCTAGCCAAAAAGTAGACAGTTTGGTGTAAATTCTATTACATTCTCGACTCAGAGCGACAAACAATGAGAAAGTTTCTATTTCTCAAGTTGTCTGCGGTATTACTTTGGTCTAGGGTACAGAAAATATATATAAAATATGTAAAAATGGATATTTGTTGAATTTTGTCTCATAGACTAGACTAGACAAACATGATGTTGATCACCACCCAGCGATCAATCAATTGTGATTACATCTCAGTCCTACAGAAGGTTAGTCACGGCTCGGATAGCTCAGTGCTAACGTCTCTGACTGTGAAGCTGGGTGACACGAGATCGAATCCTCCAGGGAGCATCAGTTCCCTCAAGATTACAGGTACACCTTGCTGACGAGTGCCAAGTAGCACGAAACCCGGGTCCAGGGTTTCCTGTTGACTACCTCCAACCACCATCTAAATCTCAATACATCGTGCCCGCAGTGTCGAGTCACCTAGACTGGTGGCCACATTGCAACATGACCGATAGCATTCGATCTGCACTAATAAGGACTAGACAAACATGACATTGATCACCACTCAGTGATCAATCAATTGTAATTTTGTCTCCTGTTTGGTTTGTATTTGTGATTCGTACTTTAGCTGTAAAAATGAACACACCTGAACCTACTATTCAGAATATTTTGGACTCAAATACTTTGCGTTGGATCTTTGTCGGAGGTAAAGGTGGAGTTGGAAAAACGACATGCAGTTGCAGCATTGCTGTTCAAATGGCCAAAGTGCGTGAGCGTGTTCTCATTTTGAGCACGGATCCTGCTCATAACCTTTCGGATGCGTTTGACCAAAAGTTTTCGAAAAATCCTACTAAAGTTAGGGTAAGTACGAAGCTTGCTTTTGATTTTTCATCGACGCAGCATTTTCTATTAGTTTATTTCCGTTTGCTTTAGCAATATAGGCGTTTTAGTACTTCAAATTTAAAATGCTCGGATCAAATTAGCTTCTTCTAGTGTCTACCTGCTTAGAATATTTTATCGGAGTGCTAGGAAGCAAATGTTTATATACCTGGGGTTCAGTTTATTGGTATTTTCTATCCAGAGGAATACTTTTCAGGTTTGAGATTTCGATGTATGTACTAAAGACATGAAAACAATGGCCTGGGTTAGTCCTTTTTTAGCAAGCCTCGGTGAGACTATAGCTTATGGAGGACCTTTGAGTCACAGTAAAGTGACCCTGAGAATGTCTGCCTACTAACTAAGACTAAAGGGCGGTTATTGAGCAATGTGAGGAATTAGAATTATGATTTATGGTTGGTGGTTAAGGATTAGATTTAGGGTTTTCATCACGAACCAACATAGGCTATGATACCAAGACGCTATTTAGCCAAATGGACAAATGAATTTCGCACCAAAATCCAAGGCCTACCATCCTCTATCTGATTGGTTAGTTCATAAGTTGTAGTCTCCTCTAAGCCTCTATGAGCCTCATATCTTCTCTTGGATGGGTCGATTGAAAGTGTAGACGTCGCTTCTTACGTTGGTAGGTCCTGAAAGTCGTTGGCTCGGTGGGAAAATCTTTTTTTCGCCGATATTTTGTCGGTTCTTGACTTCTGAACTCCCCTCCTCTGAGTTGTGCTGATTTTTTAGGAAGCAGGAGGGAGGATATTTCAGTTTCGAAATCATTTAGTAATCTATATATCAAAATCGGATCACATCTTTATGATAAGACTCAGTAAAGTGGTCTAACTACTCAAGGCACCTTGTGTAAGCCTCGGAATTCTGGAATTGTTCGTATAGCTGTCCTTTGTGATTTTTCTGAGGTATTTATTCATCTTTAAAGTATGGACTTGCAGTCTGGACCCAGTTTTCAAGTCTGGAACGTACTAAAATTGTATATACTGTAACAAACACTTTCGTATCCGATTTGGTATATGTCTATCTTAATTCAACTAGGGTTCCAACCGCTAGGCAGTGAGGTCGGACTCACTATTACCCCTAGATCATTGTGAAACAGGACTAAAAGCATCATAACTTCTCCAATGATGTAATTATCTTCCTTTGTATATAAAATGTACATGTAGGCACACTTAGGCACATCGGTAGGCATCAACCACTATTTAGACCGGCCAACCAAAACGTTTTTACTATTTATTTATTTGAACATAAACATTAGTACAAGTGAGCACCAAATACATATGCGTCACAATGAAAATGAGGCCAGTAGTAGTTATCATTGATTTGTATGATGGCTGGGCTACTACTCGGGTGCCCAAACCGAAGTAGGTGGTTTTCTTGGGGGTCGCACCCTGAGCCTTTAATCTAAATGTCTAATCCACAAGGTAGTGGAGCAACGTTACGGGATGCAGTCCCATGGTAGCCGGTGACCAACAATGGGTTCATACACCTTTCGTTCCCTCAGAATTCTGGAGACTATATGTACCATTGGTTTGGAACCAAGGTTTTCCAACTCCTCCAGGTAGACTCTCCGTGTCCACCAACTCAGTTAAAGCTTTGGACATTCACTTTTCGTCCTTTTAATTTCGTAAACAACACCCCCTCTGGAAGAATACAGTGAGTAGGACTTAACTGACAGTGGTTGTATCCACGTCGCTATTTGAGAGCATTTCGATAGGAAAGGCTGACTCCCCACTTTCAGCGGTTTTTGGGGGCACGTTGCTCCACCACCTTGTGGATTAGACCTTTAGGTCAAAGGCTACGGTTATAGGCCCCTAAGAAAACCACCTGCTTCGGCTTGGGCACCCATGCAGTATACCTGACCTCACACAAATTGGATGATTTATGTGTCGCATATCTATTTGGTGCCTCTTTTGTGCCAATCCTTGTGTGTTTAAATGAATAAATAAATAAATTTTCAGTCCAACTTGGCAATGGATTTATATCACTTTTAGCCTGTCACTGACTTAATTGTTTTCTAGTCAAATCTTGTGGAGCCGAATTTTTAGATATTATCACTAACATAGTTCATTCACACAATTCGGTTAAAACACTTTCCCCAGTAACTCAGAAAACCAAGTTTTTTTACTTTTCCATTTTTAGACGTAGAGGTGTGGTTCATTATGCAAACAATCACTGCAATACTTGTTACTTATTTCATCAGATGTAGCAGACCTAAAAATGAGAGTTGCAGATTGCTTCCTGTTTATACAGACATACCAGATCATTTTTTCTCCTCACGGTTTCGGTTTGATTACTTAATAGGCTGTCCCCATTGACAACTAAAGAATGTACTACTTTTGAGAAATTTTGTTTTTCGTTGTTAGAAAACAATCAAAAAGAAGTCTAGAGCCCGAATTTCGGTCTTGCTCGAGCTAATCTAAAGAAAACACATACAATTCTGCAGAAGAATTCTTCTTCCTTAAGTTCAATTGTCTTTTAATCCCTCAGTCCATGACGATACCGTTAAAGGATTAGGGCTGCTACTGGTTTTCTATGAGACCGGATAATGTATACGAAGTTGGTATTATGTGATAACTTGGTCAGTTGGCGCTGGCATTCATTCCATTTCCTGGCCATTTAATTTTACTGTTATTTTGTTTATCACACGTCGGACTTGATGGTGTTTATTATACAAAACGAAGTGATAAGATTGTAAATATATAGGAGTGGAAATTATATAATCAAAATAAACATCAAAACTATCGAAGGTTACGTTCTGAATAAGAACCAAGGCGAAATTTGTTTAATTTGGAGGTATATGTTTCTGCTTCGGTTTGGGCATCCGGGCAGTATCACAGCCTTCACACATATCGAATCAGATTTGTGTGGCGCATATGTATTTGGTGCCTCCTTGTACCAATATTTATGTGTTAAAATAAATAAATAAATCATGAAGAACCTTAACTTCTACTTTGAGTCATTTGTGATAAGGTCCCAAACCATCTGGCAAAGGCGAGATATACGCCTACCAATAAAACGACAAGTATACTGCGCGGCAGTTCATTCTGTTCTACTTTATGGCTGCGACACGTGATCATTAAGAGTGGAAGATACTCGTAGGCTACTAGTATTTAATCATATATGTCTTGGAAATATTGCTCGCATCTGCTGGGGTCACCGGGTAAGTAATAGTGAGGTTAGACGCAGGGTATTAGGGAATCATGGTAAATCAGTTGATGAGGTTGTGAATCTTTATTGACTAAGATGGTCGAGCCACGTGTTATGTATGCCTGAACACCGATTACCACGTCGCGGAAATCTGACTAGTGGTAGAGATGGTTGGAGGAACGTTAGGGGTGGTCAATCCAAAACTTGGCATCAGTAATTGAAGTCACTAATTTCTGGTCTGAGTCATGTTGGTAGATACAGACTACTTGGTCGGGGTCCGCACTTAGTAACACAACACAAATGTTTTGTTATTTCTCAGTGTTATATCAACTTTGATCTGGACTAACAACTACTGAGAAGTCATGCTTACCACCTGGTGACTAATTAAGTCAAAACACGTTATATTTCAAGTTTTGTAGTTTACAAATTTAATTATTGATTTGGTCATGGATAATAAATTTACTTCAAACGTTACCGACTTAACGATTTATTAGACCAAAGGTAATATTCATTATTGACTGACATCAACTGGATAATCATTCGAACTAGAAGCACGCGGTAGCTGTTACTTTATCGTTAGTGCACACAAACTACCAGACTATATTAAGTGTAGGGCCTCCAGGTTTCTCGACAAACGCACTCAGCAACTGTGTCAGTATCCAATGGTTTTTATGTTCCAGTAGGATCATTATCTAATGTGGTGAGGGGATAACTTCCTTACTGCCTAGATGGTTGATACTGAGGTCACGGATTATCAGTGAAACTTCAGAAAATATCTGAAGCTAATCGCTAATGAGTAATTAGGTGATTTTTAGGGTTTGTTGAGAATCTTATTTGATACTGAACATGCAATATTGAATAAAGTTACTACTATTATCATTATTATCCAGGTTTCAGAAAAGGAACTGATATCATCTAGTGAAGTATTAAATACTAGATGCCTTGGATGGGGACTTCCAAAAAGTGATAACTGTAAAATGGTCTCGTGTGGAATCATTTTTGAACTAATATCAATCCGTAACTGAATCCATCGTCAAAATGAGTGATGGCCTGGTAATTAGGAGATTGCTGTTCTAAATAATAGATCGCGAGTTCGAGTCCTATTTTTCTTATCTTGATTTAGACAGCTAGATAGTATTTATAGCCAATGCACAAGTATTTTGACCTGAAGATAAATGGAAAAATTTCTGCTTGACAAATTAGTTACTTAAATACAGATCTAACTAAATGACGTTCAAATTTGAGAGGATGTTTCTCATGTTGTCCTTTTTCAGTCAGTCAGTCAGCTACAACGTAGGACCAGGCACATATATGCATCGGTCCAGGTTACCATACCGCATTAGCACAGCAAGATGAACACCGGATTCATAGGAGTGGTTAGGTCAAAGGTGCTAATATATAGGAGAAAAATTGCATATAAGGATACAGTACAGGAAGAAAGAATTAGTAGAAAGAAAGATATGAAGTGATTTTAATCTCTTAGTTTAAGGGAAGACAGGGAGTGTATACACCGACGCCATTGTGATCGATTCTGAGCCATGTCGCCAAGAGTCTCCAACCATCGGTTACGAAAGTCACGCGGACCCCAACCAAGTAGTCTGCATCTACCAACATGGCTCAGACTAGAGGTTAGTGTCTTCAAGCACTGATGCCACGTTTCGGTTTGGCCGCCCCTAATTCTCTTCCAACCATCTCTAACACCCGTTAGCATTGCACGACGTGGTAATCGGTGTTCAGGTATACGTAACACGTGGCCCAACCATCTCAGTCGATGAAGATTCATAACCTCGTCAACTGATTTACCATGATTCCCTAATACCCTGCGTCTAACCTCACTATTACTTACCCGGTGATCCCAACAGACGCCAGCAATATTTCTAAGGCATCTGTGGTCAAATACTAGTAGCTTACGAGTGTCTTCTACTCTTAAAGGCCATGTTTCGCTGCCGCAAAGTAAAACAGAATGAACTGCCGCGCAGTATACTCGTCCTTTTATTGATAGATGGATATCTCGCCTTCGCCAAAGGTGACGTAAGTTGGCGAAAGCCTTTTTAAACTTCAGGAATACTTTTCGTCAATTCTAACTGTCCAGGATGTACTCTTTTCTGGTTTTAGGGTTTTAATAATCTTTTTGCTATGGAAATTGATCCAAATGTGAACTTAGGAGAGTTCGAAGAGGATCTGGTTGGTTCTGAAGAAGCAGCAGTTTCCGCTGATATACGTAAAACCATCGGTCACTTGATGACTTCTTTCCCTGGAGTGGATGAGTATATGTCTTATACAGAGGTGTTCCGGTTGGTCCGCAATATGGATTATTCAGTCGTCATTTTTGATACTGCTCCTACTGGCCACACACTACGATTGTTAGCGTTTCCAGAGGCTATGGAGAAAAGCCTTAGCAAAGTAGTCTCAATGAAAAATCAGGTAAGTAGCAATTGTTCCAATCTGGTCAACTTTCTGGAAAATCATTTTTTACTAGTTAAATGTTTACTAACGTAATTTAAGATGTGTAACATAGCTACAAGTAAACACTACTTGTTTTCATTAGTTACTAGATGGGTTCACTTAAAACACTCTGGAGGGCTTTGGGGAATTTATTTCCCAAGACTAGTGTATCTTCCCATAACCATGTATTACTCCAAATTTAATTCTTTCAACTTATTATTGAGCCCACCATGAGTTAAATGTAAATTGTTTTAGAAAATCAAATGTATTAGTCGCCCAATATCTTGAAAACACTTTCTATTTGTTAAAACACCACTCTGGGAGTATTATTTAGGCTGGGAATTGAATTTCTTGCTGATCGAATCACGTAGTAGGTTGGTGTTACTTCATCAAGTGGAACAGATGACAAACCTCTTATTTAAATTACGAATATTAAGTGTGAATAAAAATTGCATTCATCTAATCTCGCTGCATCGCTTAACAAATTATTACTATCTGTTTCTTGCTTCTCGTTATGTTTCTTTATCCTTAGCAGTAGTTTGGGACCAACCGAATTAGTGCGATTCGTGTAGTTAGCATGTCATCGTATAATACTGCTGTATCAACCACACGGAAAGTTTCTTGAATAGAGATGTTCTTGGACCAGTATTTGTGTATCACGGAAAAATCTAAATATTTTACGTGCATTAAAGAGTTATTTCGGTTGCTTAAATAATTTTACACTTGTCTCGCATACTTTTTTGCGTAAATTATGATATCTTCCGTCCATCTTCGTGAACCGCATTTCCATACTTGTTTTTAAAATGTTTAAGAATGAGTAAAGGTAATTACCAACTGGTCCTACGTCAGTCAGTCAGTCACAACGTAGAACTTCGCACGTACGTACATCAGTTCGAGTTGCCACACCACATTAGCACAGAGATGCAGTCGACTCAAACTCCGTTGTGGTAGAGGTAGTAACAGTATAAACAGTAATTGGAAAGATTAGGGTTTGAAGATGTTAGTCAAGGAGTATAACACACTGAAATAAATTTGGAAAGAGGAAAAAAAGGACATGAAGAATTCAGAAGATTAGAATTTGGGAGAACACAAAGAGTGGATGCACCTGCGCCATTGCAAACGATTTTGAGCCATGTCATTCAGGGTCTCTAACCATCGATTGCTATCATCTCGCGGTCCCCAACCAGGTAGTCTACACCTACCAACATGACTCAGTCCAATTGTCAGTGACTTCATGGACTTGTGCCATGTTTTGGTTTGGCCGCCTCTAGCTTTCTCCCAACCTACTCCTATACCACTGAACATAGCACGTCGAGGTAGTCGGTCGTTGGGCATACGTAACACGTGTCCCAGCCATCTCAACTGATGAAGTTTCACTACTTCATCAATTGATTTGCCATCCTTACCTAGTACCCGTTTCCTAACAACTGTGTTACTTACTCGATGGTCCCATGATATACGAGCAATATTTCGAAGACACCTATGATCGAATACTAGTAACCTACGTATATCCTCTACTCTTACCGGCCATGTTTCACTGCCATAAAGTAGGACGGGACGAACTGCTGCTCAGTAAACGCGTCCTTTGGTTGATAGACGGATATCTCGCCTACGCCATAAATGACGCAAGTTGGTAAAAGCTAGTCGAGCCTTCTGTATCCGTGCTGAGATTTCGTCATATACCAGACCACAAGGGTTGATGAGACTGGTCCTACGTAATACATGGTGGAATCATACAAATTTACTTAAACTTATTCATTTGCCGTACCTAGTGTTGTTGACGTGAACGATAGTCGAAATGCGTCGTTTACCAAATAACTTGCCTCACCATTACATTCAGCCATATATTATTGCTATAAAGATCAACTGAATCCACAGTTACGCATTGTGCAAAATCTTTAATAAGTGTCTAGATGCTTCACTAACTCAACCAGTTGTTAAAGGTGGATAATGCCAAGTGAATTCTTGTCATCTTCGACCATCGAAGTAAAAAATTATTCCAAATTATTTGTTTGACATCTTCATGTGTGGGCGAGAATGATCATGATTGGTTGTCTGCTTAGTCGGACATGTAGATAGTCTGACAGGTGTCAGATAAGTTATATATTCCCCTATCCTTATTATTATTATGACTCACACATTGTTGATTGTTCATTGTCGTTGAATTGTGTCGGGTTTTGGTGTGGAAATACATTACGTTGTGGTCAGACTAATCACGTGTTCTGGATCTGAGTTATGCTGACGTCCTGTAGAATAGACACTGGGAGGGAATGTAGCGTAGATATTCGTTTAAGGTAGATTAACGTCCTATACCTGTAAACGTGGAAACCCATCCGTTATAGCATTAGACGAAGTAAAACCGAGGGCTATACCACATTCCAGTCTTAGTAAACATTCTTCATAATTCATGAGTATTGAAGCCGATTTTCATATTATGAATGTAATATTTTTGTATCAAATACGTAGTACTATGTTCAAAAATGCTATATGCTATGGGTGTATATAATGGGGTTTTGCATGTAATCACAAAATAAATGCATATAATTTCTCTTTTTATCTTGTGTTTCCGTCCACTCACTATTATTCCAAGTTAAAATTGAAGTTGATTCTTTCGAATATTTTGTTCCTGTGTTTTCAATAATTCGTAGTTCGCTCCAATTTTAAACCAATTAATGGGTTTAGTCGGAATGAACAGTACACAAGGTGGTGATTTAACAAATGCAATAGAAACACGTTTACCTATCGTTAAAGAAATAACAAAGCAGTTCAAAGATTCCACTCAGACTACATTTGTATGTGTTTGCATACCCGAATTCTTAAGCATGTACGAAACGGAACGCTTAGTTCAAGTGAGTTATATATTCTATTTCGGCACAGTTTTATCGTCATTTGTAAGTAATTATGTGATTTACTACTATGGCCTAACGACACATTAGATATTACAGAAGGAGAATTTACTCACTTTTGTATTTTTGCTATATATATATATATATATATATATATATATATATATATATATATATATATATATATATATATATATATTAGTGTAAGGGGTAGAAGTTAAAATAGCCACTAAGTTCTTGCGAATTAACTACTATATACCTCAGCATGCTATTCTAATAACACTAACAAGTAGCTTAGTGGTAGAAATGGAGGTAAGGCTCGGGCATCTATCATGGTTCACAGCTAACTCTCGAAGGGCCAGATTGTTGGTCTTAAAGCACACTCTCACAACTGCACTAGTTTCATTGTTTTTCTTTCACATTCATGTATTGATATGTCTGGTAATTAAATATGAAATAATCCAAACTCTTTGATTAGCACATAAACTTAATTCTTGTACTCAGAAAAGAGTTAATTCAAATTGTCACATCTCTGGCTCCATTAAATTATTAAGTAAGCAATTAAAACCATTCTTATGTGAGAGGGAGCAATTAAAATCTTTAAAACATAGTAAGACCTATAAATAAATTTAAAATGGATTAGGCAATTTACGGTAATCTGTTCACAATCATGGAAAACAGTTTCGATGTAAATCGGTGTAAATATTTTTTTCTATTTTCCCTGACTGAGGACAAAGGCTTCGTAAGTTATTCGTTAAGCATTCTGTTTCTTTTTAAATTTCTAAAAATCCTTACTATTTCATGTCCGTTGCACCCCTGGGTTGTCAATATCTAGAAGTTTAAACAGCCTTTTATTTATAAACAATCAGTGTCTATGAAGTTTCAATATTCAGATACAAATAAATCAACACATCGTAACATGTTTGGTGTTCTGATTAATCTCTATATTAATAATGCAATAATTGGTGAAAGCGAGGACGAAAATTTTAACAAACAATAACTTTTATTTAAATACCAATACTATAAACAGAATTCAATACACATACGTGATCGAGGTGACTAATACAAAAACTGGAACAAATTTTCACCAGCGACAAATAATACCAAACACAGTAGCTAACCTTAGAACCCTTAGGCTACAGAATTTCGAATTATAACACTTCTATTACTGCTTTAATGTTCGTTTGCTTTCTCTTCTTTTGTTTAGCCTGTTTTTTTGTATGTTGCTTTATACTACTTGGTAATATTCAGTAAACAGTTTCATTTCTAATTATTTCTAAGCGTACGATGTAACACAAGTTTATTTGTTGCGTAATATCCTAAAGTATTTATATAAGCTAATAATATTTACTGTATTTACAATTATAATTACTTTCTACTAACCCTTGCAACAGTTATCTCCAGTTTTTTCACACTTTAAATCTTTTTTTAAACTCAACAGTTTCCACATTTGAGTGTTATTAGTCTCCCCATTTTGGTTGTTTTTGAAATATTGTTAACACTAGACACAATTATCAGCTGTCATTTACGTTGTCATATGTTGTAATTACTCTTTATGTTACTATAACAGGGATCCCTTCCCTTCCCAGATATACGGATGAGTTAGTCACTACAGATACCACACAAGTTGATGTCGGTAACCAATTTATGTTTGTTCTTCAATAACCGAATCATTCTTTAGACAAATAGTTTATTTCTTTAATTTTCGGTTTCACGTGGATCTCAATCATGTAGTTGGACGTTTCAATAAGATTAACAGCCAACAACTAGTTTTTATCGAAAATGTCACTTTATATTTGCATTTTTAGTAACTTAGGAATTCAGTGAAATGTGATTGAATGATATATGACGATTGGTTCGACAACATAATGGATTGTTGTTTATCGTTATTCCCATCTTGTAGCAGCATGACCTAAAATCTAGTGTTAAGCAATTTCCACCTCACTGGTCTAGAACTTTGGTTTCTAATTCAGCTATTTCTTATCATATAATTTACTAGCAACGAAGTTGTTCATCAGTAAATGTAAACACTTATCAGCAAAGTATGGTTGAGATTATTATAATCCAGATAGAATTATAAAATTACCGGCATCGATTATCTTGACTTGTTTCTTTTGAAAATGCACCACTCAGTTGGATCACTCATTTATCATTCTTTTATTGAAGTACTAGTACGTTGGTGAACAGCTTATAAATACAGCTATTGTTTAATCAAACCAGTAGCTTGTGCTGCTAAATGTTAGATTTGATTTAAACTGAGGTGTATTATGCTGCTAGGATGTCCATCCAAGTCGTAGCACTCCGAAATATGTGTGCTTCTTTATTTATTATTTATTTGAACACATGAATATTGGTACAAGAGAGCGCCAATATATATGCGCCACACGAAACAATGAAAATTCGAAGAGAAGTACAAAAAAAAACTAAGGAGCGCAAAAGAAAAAGAGAACAATAACGAAGAGATTGGTGTAAGGTAGTGTGGTAGTAACGAGGGAACGAAAAGGTACAATCAGAAGAAATCTTTCAGTTAAGGAAGATACAACCACTTTTTATGAAGAAAGTAAAAGAAAGTTACAGCACGATCGCCACTGGCTTGTATTCTGAGCCATATCTGATAACGTCTCTAGCTGTTGTGTTGCGCCATCTCTAGGACCCCAGCCAGCGAGTCGTGAAGGACCAACGCAAGCCAGCCCTTTTCAGCTTTCTTTCATACCACGACACAATGTCATACACTGACCACCTCTCCGCTTTTCCCAACCAGTCCCAGCGTCGGCAAATAATGCACGATGTGGAATTCTCTGGGACGACATTCGTACAACATTTCCAAACCACCGAAGTCGGTGTTTCAAGATGGTGACACCAATTGGATTGTCGTCTCTGTGCCCGAACACACGATGCCGAACCTCTGCATTACTGACATGGTGTTGCCACTGAATGTCCGCAATCCTTCGGGGACAGCGATGATCGAACACAGAGAGTCGTCTAACATCCTCAACTCGGAGAGGCCAGGTTTCACAAGTGTGGAGGGGGACTGCTCTCACCGACGCGTTGTAGATCCGACCTTTTACAGCCAGACTAACATCACGAAGGTGCCAAAGGTGGCCCAGATTGGCATAAGCCGCTCTGGCTTTCACTATTCGTGCATTGATCTCATCACTCACACTCCCATCAGCTCTTATGCAGCTATCCAGATACACGAACTTCTCGACTACGTCTATCTGTTCACCATCCAGAGTGAGTACAGGGTTAGAATCCTGCCAGTCTTGTAGAAGTACTCTGCACTTCGAAGGTGCAAAGCATATACCATAGCTACGGACACGGATTGCCAACTGATTAAGTGCGGATTGCATGCCTTGGGCATTATCGCACAGTAAGACAATATCGTCCGCATACTCAAGGCCGAGAAGTCTTTCTCCAGGCAACAGATCCACACCACCATTACTTACATTCATCAGGGCTGTTTCCAGAATGTCATCGATGGCAAAGTTGAAGAGGAATGGTGAGATTGGGCAACCCTGCCTAACTCCACTGCTCGAATGGAACAATGGAGAGAGGTGGTTGTATGCCCTCACTCTGCCTGAGGTGTTTGTATATAGGGCTTTTAGAATGTTAATAAACTTCTCAGGCACACCCTTCTTCAATAGACAATCCCAGAGAACAGTCGTGTCCAACGAATGGAAGGCAGCCCTGATGTCAAGAAACACTACAATTGTTGGCCTTTGATAAGTATGGCGGTGTTCTAACATTTGGCGGAGGGTGAAGATATGATCAATACATCCTCGACCAGAACAAAACCCAGCCTGCTCCTCGCGAGTCAATCTTCCTCGGGTTTTGAACAACCTACGAAGTATGACGGAAGCCAATAGCTTGGACGCAATCGAAAGTAGACTTACCCCCTGATGGTGGTTACAGGAACGACGTTAACCCTTTTTAAAGATAGGGACAACTATCGACTCATTCCATGACGTTGGTACACTCTCTAGTTCCAAGACCTTTGTAAACAACATCGGCAGTTCTTTAGTCAGAAAGTCACCACCATCTTTAAAAAGAGCCAGGAGTAAGTAATCTGGGCCCGGTGATTTGTAACGCTTCAAGAGTTGGAGTTCCTTGAGGACTTCCGCTTCATTTGGTGGATCAGTCGTCACCGGCCATGGAGGGCAGGACAGTCTGACCGATGCTGCCGGAGCAGCAGGCCGATTGAACTGCCCTTCGAAAAATTCTGCCCATCGTCCGAGACGTCGATAGATGTTAGTGATTGGCATCCCGTCATTCTTGTAGATTGTTCCGCTCACACCAGACTTCTTGCTGCCAGTGGCTCGGATGAGTTGGAAGAGCTTCTGGTAATTACCAGATGCAGCTGGTGCTTCAAGCTCATTAGCACGCTCCGACCACCAGGCTTCTCGGTCCTTACGCAAGCTTTGCCCGATTTCATTACGTAACATCCTTCGTTTGTGGTCAAACTCACGGTCACCCGAAGTAGACCGACGGGCTTCAATGAGTTGTAAGGAACCTGCAGAAACCCAGTGCTTGTAAGCGTGACGTTTCGCGAGCCCACAACTGAGTTTACTCGCGATTTTCATGGCGTCATGCAATTGCGACCAATGCTAATCTATACTTTTCGGTGGAATGGTAGCTAGCCTAGAGGCTAGCTCGGTTCGATACTTACTAGCAACAGAAGTTGCAACCAGCGGGCTAACATCAATCCTTTGGTGGCGGTCACTTCGTTGGCCACTGAGAAGTAAGGTAAGATTGGCGCAGACCAAGACATGATCAGAGTCCTGATAGGTACTCCAAAAGGAGCGGCAGTCTTGTACATAACCACGCCAACGGTAGCTGATCGCGATGTGATCAATCTGAGTCCAGGCTTGAGATGCAGAGGGAGGACGCCAGGTGGCAAATCGGCGATGACTGTGCCGGAAGTTAGTGCCAGCCAGAAACAGGTTGTGGTCTGTGCAAAGTTGCATTAGACGGTCTCCGTTATCTGTCCTGCAACCAGCAGTTCC